AACTCCCAACCATGCCATTCCCAGGATGAAGTTATACCTTGCATCCAAGTCTAAGACTAGACAGCGTTCCACCTTCATCAAAGTCAAGGAACTTGACTCCGAGATTCACAGGGATCTTCGGGACCGTGACACGTGTCCCCGTCGTTAGACAAGCAGTCACGAAGTCACCCAACCGCGCTACCAGCGCCTCAGCATGCAGCTGACTTTCTTCCATCGTGGAGCGTCTAGCATAATTGCCCGACGCTCCGGAATTGATGAGGATATTCCATGGCTTCTTAAAACCCTTCACGGTCGCCTCCACGACCAGCAAGCTCGTCTTGCATACACGTTTCGCGTTTAAGAGCACGGAGCTTTTCAAGGCTGGGCCGTGCTGACCTCTACCTTCCCGAGGCTCAACAGAACCCAGTTCTCCCCCAGTAGGTCGCCCTGCGCCTACTAGGTGTTGTCGTTTCCTCGCGACGAACCAGACTGGTAGGTATTGTGGTAATGGTTCGAAGAGCCTTAACGCGCCTTGCGCAGGGGGGCAACCATCCGAAAGTGACGGGTGTCTATATAGACATAACACCGTAGTGTGTTTGTGTGCTGTCCGGCAGCTCGGAGCTCTGCTCCCTCGTCCTCAGCAAAGCTGAGATTCATGGACACAGGCCCGCTCGACGAGCTTTCGGAGTGTGCATTCCAACCAAGTCGTGTCGACTTGAAATTGAATTAGGCACTCAATGCCACATTCTCCGCCTCTTCAAATGAAGATGGATGCACACGGAAGACTTCCATTCTGGTAACGCCAGTGCGGAGGCCTTCCATGAAGACGGTCACTGTGACCGCCTCCGGAAAGGGATCTGCTGCCATCCCGGCAAAAGAGTGCGCATCTCTTGGACAAAGTCCACCATTTTTTTGCTGCCCTGTCAGGCGGCAAGAAAACGTGATCGCACGCCATATGCATGATTAGGCGGCGAGAACACCTGTGAGAGCTGCAATTTTAGCTCACCCAGAAGGAAAACGCATCTTCAACCAAAGTGCCGCACGTCAGTTTTCATTCTCGCGCTGCGCCACGCACTGTTGCTCGGTCTGGAGCATGGCGGATGCGATGGTCATCTCGGCGTCTCTCACCCAGAACAGGAGATTTTCTTCATCCTTCACCTCGAAGACCTTAACGCTCATCATGAGCGGCTTAGGGCGGAGAAAATCATTCATCATTGACGGTGGCGTCATAGAAGCAAATGATGCAGATATCTTCTAATGCAGGTAATCTAGCAGCGCGTTTTCGTAATTTGAAAATGCCTCTAGACGCGCACCGATTGCCTCGGGACATTGCGCAGCAAGGTGTTGCACGTCCTCAGGGCCAAGCAATGACATCAGATTTTAAGCCCGTCCTGCCTGCCCTAGGGCAAAAAGGAAAAACTGTTCCATGCTCGCAGACCCTCAGTCTAGACGGCTCAGGTGTAGATTGACTAAACAAGTGCATCGGGGCTCCCGTAGCTTTGCGCTTTGAGGAAGCGTATGCTAGATCACCGACCTTTCGCTCTATACTTAGAACAAATACGATTTTAGCGGATCGCAATTCGCTAACTCCAAGAGTAGTTATTACCTTAACCCAAGGCTGATTAGCTCTTCCGTTTAAAACCAGAACTGAATTTCTTTAAGTTTATATGCGGCAAAGCCGCCTGATTCCAAACGCATAGATTTTCCAAAATATGTATAGTAAAATCTAAATACATGTATAACTATCGGCTATCCAGCCCCGTACCGTATTCTTGTTTGGCTGTGGTCACACCATGTCCACTGGTTTGACACACACCCCTGCTACCAGGGTATGTGTAACCCCGTTCCAGATCTGCATTAGGAAGGCCATTCATTTAGCGACATGAGCGGCTTTGGGACCGCCTTTTCTGCCGCACCTAGCTTGACATTTAACAAGATTGGTGAAGGCCCGTGCCCTGTCAACAATTTTTTTCCCACTGTTGCGTTAGTACTTGGACTGGCCATTCGCCTATTCAAGCTTCGTTAGACTGGTAAGCCTGGTTCTCGTCGATTCAGAATTAGGAACTCTTCGGCGTCAAAGACCAACTTTTCGATAGAGCCAAGAACCTTGTTCAAGCGCAAACACTTAAGCACTACTCGAGAGTGTTGAATGTGTTTCTCCACATCCGACTCTTTGTGCTGTCGTCGAGTTTGGATTTTAATAGATCTGTGTATAGCTACCATGTGGTCTGGACAGCTGCTTTCCAGGACGAATGAATGTTTTTATGTGTCAAGAAGTTTTAGTCGCGTGACCAGCCATTACGCTCGGGTGCTCAGCACTCAAAAGAATATCAAAAAGTCTCATTTTCTTTTGTTCTACCGTGCAGTCTTTCTTAAGTTGCCTTTTCACCGAAACGGTAGCTTCTATAAGCTGGTTATACGAACAAAATCAATTACTTTCACAAAGCTTTTCCGACGCACACCGAGTGGGAAGATAAACAATTTGAAATAATATTATTTTTTCTTTTGCCCAAACAAGCTTACACGGCATCACATTATTTATCGAGTAAAGACCATTGACGTGTAGCCCTAGAAACCTAGTCAATTGAATGACGCAGTCCCTGATCCGAGGGCTGCACCTTGTCAATTTATCGCCACCATGTCATAAATAGAATTGGAAAGAACGCGCGTTCCAAAGATTGGCTGTCCCATGAGATTGTTTTCAAGGTATGTAAACGACGGAATTCAATACGGAGAATGATCCCAGCTTTCTCATGTACTAACTGCGCCAGGTCATTGATGCCACTGTCTTGCATTTTTTGCATATAGATCTAGGATAAATTCTCGAACCTTTTCACCACTTTCGTCTGGGGCAGTAAGAAAGACTCACTTTCCATAATTAACTCATATGCACGGTCAAGTCAGCTGGTATGCCACAAACCGGTAAACTTCTACCAACTCCCACAATGGGTATCTCACATAGGATTGCTGTATCCGGTACAGTGACAACGATGGACCATACTTAATGTCTAAACCTTTTTTTGCAGCCTAAAGCTGCCGACCTCACAACACTTTGTCCTAGAGGCTGCGATACGAAATCCCTTCGACTTGTTCCCGAGAAACCAAACGATGGACATTCTTGCCGTCCCACCAGGAATACTAACAGTTTACCGCTATCCAATGATGTGTTCGTCAAATTGCTAAGGTTCAACATGGAAGGCAGTGCTTGGTACATAATGTCTTCCGAATTATGGCTTGTGGCTTTCCAGCCAACCGGTGGCACGTATCTCGTATCTGAGTCGAGTGCGATATATCTTATACGCTGTCTAAGATTTTCATACTTCACTTGACGGTTTTAGTGTACATTTGACACGGCTTCTAGTTTTCGTCACAAAACGCGCGGATGTCAATTGGTACTTTGAATCTCTAATACCTTCGCATATTGACTATGATTTGTGGCAGTCGCGCGCCGTTCTTAAATGCACGACACTATTGATTCTATCGGACCTTTCATGATCATACATACACACAGAGCTGAGACATTGATGCCCACAACCAGCAATGCTACATCACTGGGAATGAGTCTCTCCTTGAAAGATAGGCTGCATTGACCACAACATCCACGGGGTATAATAGAATCCGGCTTTTCTCGATTAGGTCATTTTTCGCCTGCTGGGCTCTTCTCATCCCGCAAGAGACTTCTCGGACGCCCCAGCATGGCCATTCAGCCCTTCGCAACAGCTCGATTAGAAACGATGAGGTTGCTCAAGGTACAGCTGTTCTCTGCGACCGCAATTGAAACGTCTGCAAGTAAAACGGTACAGCACAGAAGCTTCGTAGAGCCTTAAATTTCTGCATTTCATTTGGTCCACAGGTCCAAAGCTAGATTTCATATAGATTATGAGATGGAGAGACACCCACCAAAGTACGAGTGCGAAGCGGTCGCGGTGCCGAAGCGACTTCTTCTGCAACAAAGTTGGTGTGACCTATGCACTTAGAAAGCTTTACTTCAAAAGTCTACATTAACAAACGCACAATGCCTATAGGCTGAACTGGCACACATACCCATGATCAATACAAAAGCCGCTAACGCAACTAGTTATTAGCTAGCTTTGTTATATCAAGAGAGGCAAACGTTGTAAAAAACCCACGTGTGTCACAAATAGACTGCAGGTATCTTGATAAGTTTTTAATAGAATGATCTTACGATTTCTTTAGTCATTTTATTTACTTTTTTTTAATTGGAATAATTTTAAATAGATTGAATTATTATTGTTATCGATTAGAGTGAATATTATTTCTATTTCAATTTTTAATTTATGATGTAATGGGGCGATTTTCCTCCATTACGGAGTCTCATCGTTTCCATGTATATCAATATTTCCGTGCTTATGAAAGTTCACATTTTCACCATGATGCAATACGAATCTCGAAAAGTTGTACAATTATACAATCGCGCGGAAACGTAAGGTGCAGATGCACAGTACTTACCCGTTACACTTCCAGTTAAAAGAAAGTGGACCACACTGAAATTCAACATTATAGCGTCTGCATACGTAAATACACAAATTGAATGCTCAACGAGCAGCCACTGCACATGGGATCAACCTTTATCTTCAGAACTTTGCCGTGGCGGTTACTCGGAGCCTACTCGCACTAGTGATCTCTTCCCTTTACTCAATTGAATAGCGCACAAAGTATATGAAGATGTCCTGATCCACGCAACCAGAAGCCAATTCACATTGTTTTTTATGGAGGCAGTTGTAGTAGTTATCCGAATCCTGACAAGATACATGCGCTCTCACCTGCGAAACACGGCCTAGTCGCTCTCCGAGTTGATGGGGCTTGCGTTTTCTATGCGTTACGTTTCTCGTGCCTTTTCCTGCCGAGGGAAGTGTTGTGACATATCGTCGTATAAAGTATGAGAATGTTTAGCTTGTTGCTCTCGGGCGGGGGTATGGCGCCGACTCAGAGAGCCTGCCTTATCTATTGACAAGCGCGAGTCTCGTGAACAATTGACCGAAGCATCGCGCAGTGTTAACGTTTTAAATCGTGGTAATATTCTCGCTGCGTTGAAGCGGATCATTTGCACATCAGTGCCTGCGGAATTCACTTACACAAGAGAAAAACAAGTGCCAAAAGCTAGTCTCATGAGCAATTTTTATCTTGAAATGTCGCCAATAATCAGAATTATCGCATGTTCTTGAATCAGAAGCGGTTGCGAATTCGTTTTCGTCATGACAAATAAATCTAGATTTTTAACTCTGGCGACAATGCCGATGGGAAATGTACTGATTATGTGTATTGGGTGAGAGAAACAAGCTTTTTCCATGTCACAACTCTTTACTGCGCCAGTCAAGCGGACTTTTCAATTGAGCGTCGACTAATGTTTGACTTTGCGACTTTCATAGCACGATGCGAACATAAAAAACGGAATTAAGGCACCTAAAAGCTCAAGTCGTCTAAAGCGTCTCTTGGTATCATACATCCGCTGCAGCGACTACCGAGCGAGTGCCAAACTCATTACAAGGCGCGTTACTCTGTCACCACTCATCATACGAAGACGCGCTACAGCGGAAGGCCTTAACTGCCGGCCCACTGAGGTTCAAGCCGAGGGTGCACCAGGTTGTAAGCGGTCACGGCACCGAGTGTCAAAATGGAATCATGAGCTTGCCTGGACGCTTCGAATAAAAGCTCCTTCCACTTATAATAGATTCTGGTCACAGCTCTGGTGCAAACAAAAACTCACGGAATTTAGGAAATTCATGGATCATCGAAGAGTATAGAAGTAGGCCCACCCTCCTGCGACTGGCTCACGTGGGCTCTGGCGGCAAGTCAATTATGTCCATATAGCTCGGCGCGCTCGACACTGAAGAGATATCTTTGCATTTAACACCGTGAATGATTCAATAAATTGTGGTAGAAGCCTCCTGCCTTCAAGTTGGATACTGCATTCAGACAGATTTGTCGTGCTAATCGTTCATTGACCTTTTACACTTTCTTATATTTTGCTCCACTCTTATTTGCTTGTCGCGTTTTGCGAATCCTGAGCTTTCGCTATAGCGCTCCGAACAAACCGCATAACCGTTCGCCATTATAAATAGAGCATTGCCTGCTGTTCCTTTGGCGAGATTCGAATGCGATCACCCGATCTCACCCCTCGGCCACTTCTGACAACTGTGCACAGCCGATGGCAAATCCCGAAGCGACACAGACGGCTCTATAATGACGATCGGCGTCTGGCAACGCCAGTGTTGGTACATAAAGGAGGCTGTCTTTGATTTTGTCTAAAGCCCCCAATGATCGGTGTCCTAACACCATTCCTTTTTCATTATAAGAAGATTCGACAGTGGCCGTGCCATTTCCACATAATTTGCGCAACACTTGTGCAAGTAGTTGGCAAGGCCAAGCCACTTGCGCAAGTCCTATTGTTTATTTGGAGTCGATCGTCCACAACGGCATTGACCTTAGCGGGATCCGCTCGAAGGCCACGCTTCCCAATGAAGCACCCTACATGGGAATCTCTTACGCGCTGGAGAATACTCATCGGTATTAGTATGTAGCTTATTTGTGTGCATGCCCTCGAGCACCGCTCTCAAATGGGCGATGTGGTCTTCCTCATCTATCCTTCCGTGTGCTACAAGATTGTGGACGAAGATGTCGTCAAAATATGTCTGTGCATACGCCAGATGGAGCCTTGAATTGCGTCACAAGACGATTAAATGTTGATGGTGCATTTGACAGCCCTTTGAGTATCACCAGCCACTCCTAGAGCATCCCGCTTCGAGAGCTTACGCCGTCAGTGAGATGTCACTCACTCTCATGAGCAATTCGCAATACCCATCGATCAAGTCGAGTGCACTCTACTTTGTACAGCCAGCCATGTTATTTTAGAGAACGTCCTTCTACGAACGGCGTCTGTGCCGATATAGTGGCAGCATTTAGCTTATTATAAGCGTGAGCGGTACGCCACTTGCTGTTCGGCCTCCGGACACAAAACATGGGTGTCGAATTGGGAGACTCTCACGAACCATTCCTGCCTCGTGCTTTGCACTAAAGATGGCGTCAATGACGTCACACTACTCATCGGGCAGGGGCAATTGGCGTGTTACGTAGTTATTAGTTCCCTGAACCAGGGCGATCTCAAGACGCACAAATCGGCTCCAGATGTAGGATCGACGCTTTACCAGAGATTGTCCGGATCCGAGGGAACCTTCAAGATCGATGATCCACTTCAGACGACGTCACCCTCGAGGCTATTCTGGCGGTGGATGCTCGTCTTGAGCTGGACGGGATATCCATTGTAGAGTTTGGCGGAGCCTTGAAGGTAGATAATTGAGCCGATGTGGTCATTTTACGATCAAACGATGAGATTGACTCGACGTCGCTTCGAGATAAAGCTGCCCTGGAGGACACTAAGAGGGCACTGCGATTCAGTCGCCTCACCACTCGTCGTTGACGACCAGGTGGCTCGCTTTCTTTAAAGAATACGGAATTGGTCCGCGCTGTGTACGCGGGTGATGATATGTGCGTAGCACTGTCACGGGCTCTCGGGAGCAAGGAACTTGAAAACTCGGACAAGAAAATGTCGGCGCGTTTGCGTGCACAATCATATCAATATTTGTTGAGTAACGAATTGCTATGTTATAGCACCGAGTCAGCTGATACACCACGAATTGTGGTTTCTCATGATGAGGATTTGAAGTACCGTATCCTTTTTTGGCACACGACACCCCACTCAGTTGTCATCTCAATCATGAGAGGACATACAACTCGGTGAGTCGCCAGTATTGGTGGCCCAAACTGTTCATGTGGACGAGCACATACGTGCGCACGTGTGAGACGTGTCAGAGAATGGGAACATTTCCAATCGCGGCGGCAATACTGGCCTGTTTGCTGGTATCCTTTGGGTGTTGGCAGTCTATGAGTATGGACTCCGTGTCTAGTCTGCCGAAGGAATTCAGAGAGCAACACGGGTGTGGTGGTCGTTGTCGACCGTTTGAGCAATATGGCTCATCTTGCGGTGATGTCCGTACAGTGACGCTATTTGTAGATCGTGTCTTTCGACACAATGGAATCCCGGAGTTAACTTTCTCTGACAGAGACCCACGCTTCACTGGTAAGGTTTGGTCAACGATCTTCAAGGTGCTTGGAACCAACTTGAATATGTCAACAGCGGAGCATCCGCAGACCGATGGTCAGACTAAGCGCGATGTTCGCGTCGTTGAAGACGCCTTCGCAGCGTCTGCGCTGAGACTCTGAGGCGTTGTAGCGCCATGCTGCAACACATATAGTTTGCTTTGAACGATGATGTGCATTCGTCTACCGGCTACGCACCGTTCTACGTTCGTA